AAGATAATTATTATTTCATATCCACAGCACTGATATTATAAAAAACATCTTGTATATTTATAAGGTATGAAAGTTGGCTGTCAATTTTTACTTGGTCTCATCATTAAATTGTTTTCCTTTCAATCCCTTAGTTTGCCTAAAAATTGAATGTATTTTATCTGAATTTCAGGAGAAAAGAAGTGCATTTGGAATTATTAAAAATACCTATTGTATCACATTATTAGTTACATCGAGCATAGCTGACTTAGCAACTCATATCCATTCAAGCAGAGGTCAATAAACTCTTCTCCAGCAGGCTTTGGTGCAACAGGATGTAAGAGGTACCCAGGGGGAATCACAGCCCAGGTTTGGGCAATGTTGGAAGCTCTGCAGTTCTGTACCACAGAGATCACACTGCCTGGGCGTGCTGTCTGATTCTTAGATAGCTCAGGGTCACACTCAGGCTTTATGAGTGTGGCCTGAGTGGATTAGAAAGTCACTGCAGTGTCACCCTGTAATTGGAACAGACTTGCAATACTTGATGGAAATGCAATACTTGATGGAAATTAGGGGGAATAGATGGTCACTGGAGTGAAAGACCACACTTGCTATTGGCTCAGATCCTGGGTGGCATCATAAAGATGTACCATGTCTTGAGGAATTGAGACGAGAATCCCAGGGATTTAACTATAAGGACAGGAGTCAGCTGCACTCCTCCTACATGGTGAAATCCTCTACTTAGAAAGCCTAACATCCTCATCATAGATTTTCTTTACTTTTGTCATTGCAGTGGGTTTAGGAACAGGAAGTTTCCATAGAAATGAGTCAAAGAACTCACTACCCCGTCCCCACTGATATGACACATTGGCATCTCTTTCAAGATACAGATAATCAGTAGAATGAGGGCACCATCCTCCTCTGAAAGAAATCTCACCTGTTAGATGGTAAATCAACTCTTTGAATTCCATCTGGGGAAGGAGTTAACCTACCTATTGGTGTGTGTGTACTTGGTATGTCTCACAGCAACTGCTACCTAGGGGGCACATGTGAATGCATTTGAAATATGATAAACTGAAGTGTAGAGTCTAAATCACTTGCCATGTATTTTTCCAGCTAGGCTGTAAGCTCTGTGAGAGCAGACGCTTTGTCTTTTAATGACTGTATTTCTGATCCCTAGCATATGTCTGATCCAGAGTAGATGAATATATGAATGAGGGAAAGGAACTGGAGATTCAGACCCTGATTCTTATATCTCCAGCAACCACTATCTTTCTTTACCACCAAGGAACTTGCCCAGAAAACCCTTAATTCACTGTCAACAAATAATTTTTAAAGTTTTCAATAAAACATAAATTGATAACTATAAAAAAGAAAAATCTATGCATGAATTTCAAAAAGTTTTTCTATCAAGATAAGCTTATGTTAACTCCACTTTTCCATGAACTCTTTGAGGTACTCTTATGTAAAGCCACATCATTTCTTGTCTACCTAATCGTATGTGTTTAGTTAAGTCCCTCAAGACAGTGGATCTGCTGCTGTGTGGCTGCTTCTCTCTTTATTTCAAAATCCTCCCCAGCCCACAGCCGGTGTAGAAAAGCTTCATGAGTTTGGCCTCTCAGTTGAGGGAATCACGTAGACTAATCAGTGGCCCCTCTCTTAAAACCATCCCCATGTCACTGGTTATTAGTCCTTTCCAGTATTAGGCCTAAGACATAAAAACTGAATCAGTATGAAGAGTGATTAACACTTTGGAATTTGGAATCCTATAGAAAGGTGAGCAAATTTCTCTGCCTTCCTGGTCTTCCTTCCCTTGTCTGCAGAACGGTGCTGATCATGGAATTTAATCATAGCATTATAGGCATTTAAGGGAGATGAAGTAAGAAAGGAGTAACATAGGGAAAGTGCACAGTAGAGCATGGTTCGTTGTAAAAGAAAGCCCCTCTTTTGGGGTACCTATGAAATCACAATTTATTTTTGACATCTACCTATTGTACATGTTTATTTCCCATCATTTTCAATATTTCAAATTTTTTTTGCCCCCTTAAGCATCACAGTCTGTTTATTTTTTAGTTTTGTTGTGAATAAATACAATTCTACTTTATTTTTGTGTATAAGTTCCAAACCAATTTAGTAATAGAAAATGAACATTGAATTAAAAGTTATGAGAAGATGCTTTTACTGTTGACTGACTCCTTTAAATCCAAAGAACAAGATGTAAACTATTTTTTTAATGTCCTCTCCTGTGCTTCAGGCTCCTTGGTGCCTCAGAAAACATGAAAAGGGCTGATTTACAATTCCTGCGGGCAAATTGCCTGTAGAATTCTAAGGACAGGAATTGAAAAAAAAAAAAAAAAAGTGTAGCACACACCCCCGGACATTCCACACAACATGTAGAATAAACAAACAGTCCCAAAAAGGAAACCAAAAGCCCTTGTATCATGTTGAGAAGGTACCACAAATGGCCTTGGGAAGAGCCTGGACTGAAGAAAACAAACAAACAAAAAAACCCAAGAGGGGTGAAATTGACCCTGATTAAAGAGAATACCTTCCTCCTCTGGTCTAATGCTTTGAGTTAGTGAGTTGCATGACTTGCATGGACATTATGAGAAAGAAACTCCATGCTATAGATGGGGGCTTCTCAGACCCCAGTGGGAATACGATGTCCCTGAGGATCTTGCAGGGATGCAGACACTGTTTCCGGACATCTGTGTAGGGCCTGAGAGGATTCAGTCTTCACAGGCTCCCAGATGATAAAGCTAGTACCGGTCAATGGAGCATACTTAGTTTTCAGTCACTTTCATCAGTGAAATCATTGGTGGTGTCATTCTAATCTCTATCTGCTGAAGAGCAGTTTTCCGGTGAGGGAGTTTCGGCTTCACAAGACTCTGTCAGTGTCTGGAGACACTGGTGATGGTTACAACTCATGGACAGCTGCTGGCACCACCTGGGTGTGGGTCCTAGATGCTGCTAAAGCACCCTACAAGGCACAAGATAGCTCCTCACAACAAAGAATGCCCTCACCCAAAACATTCATCATGCCAATGTTGAGAAACCCTGCAGTACAAGTAGTATTTTGCTCATTTCTTACATCTAAAATAGCCCACTGAAATTGTCCAAAAAAATCAAGAAAACCTCTGAGGAAAGGCAAGGAACATGTACTGTTCAGTTTGGAGTAGAGAATAAGCAGTGTTTAAAACTGTCTTCAAATATATGAAAGATTATTATGCAAAAGATGGTAACCAGCTGTTTTCCATCACCCTTGAAGAATGAACAGGAAATGTGCATAAAAGGATCTGTGTTACCCATCCATTCTTTCTCTGCTTCTTTCTCGGCAGCCAAGCAAATCTTTTCATGATCTTGCAACCATATTTGTCCTGTCCTGTGTCTGATTACTTGCAGAGACCCTCCCAAATCCTGGGCAAGCATTTTCTTCTCCCTGCCAAATCTCGTTTTTCTTTCCCCTTAAATATCCAACTTGAGATTGTCTATCTCCATAAAGTCTTCTTTCGCTAAGATGAAATAGTTACCAGTTCATCTCTAACTACAGCTGGCGCACTTCTTGTTGCAGCATATTATCTTTCAATGGATATGCTATTGTCCACGTGTGTACCAAGAGCTATGCTAGATTTTGACAAGACATAAGAGAGCTAAGTAAGAGGGCCCTTACTCTTAAGAATTGTCCAAGTGGGAGGAAAAATATTCCACACAGATAACCATGCTACAGAAAGTGATTAAAAATCTGTCTCCAGAGTAGGAGTTTGGCACAACAATTAGGACATGGCTTTAGATACCCGCATCCTACAAAGCATCAGGTTCAAACTGTACCTCTGATTCCTATTTCCTAATAATGTGCACTTGGGAGACAGTAGTTGATGGATCAAGTACTTGGATCCCTGTCACTCATGTGGTAAACTCACACTGAGTCTCAGGCTCCTTCCGCCTGGCCTACTTGTGGCCCAGCCCAACCTGACTCTGTGGACATTTGAGGAATGAAGCAGTGGATTGAAGATTCTCCCTTTCTCTTTGCCTTTCAAAAACAAAACTAAAAGAGGACATTGACTGTGGACATTGATTGTAATAGTAATAAGATTACTTCTTAGTTGGAGGGATCAAGGGGAATGTATAAATAGATGTTTTGTTGAGAATTAATGTTCTTTAATTTGCTACCTGTGTGTCAAATAAGCACTCAGTATTATTAACAAAATATGATTCCAGAACCCCTTCTGGAGATGGTCTCTGTTATTAAGGGTTTCCACTACCTGGACTACAAGGAAATGAAAGATAATTAACTCTTAGTGAATATATATATATATATATATATATTCTATATATATATATAGAGAGAGAGAGAACTTTTAGATATACTATCTAATCTAATCTCAGCAGCAAACAGGGAGTTTATCACAAACGACATTATAAGGAGTTCTTGGTATAAGCTTCCACACTCTGCTTGATTAAGGAAAGGAATCAGAGCAAATCTCAGCCTGCATAGGAAGCCTTCTCCGGGTGGAGACAACCAGCTTATGTTTCCTTTGGAAGTTGTCAAAGTAAAGCTTCATCATGACTTTGAGTGGTAATACTTATTTCCTCTGTAGTTGATAGGAAAATAAAGCTGTTTCTATTACACTGGTGGTGGTAATTTGCTGGAAGGCTCACAACTGGAAAATGGTGACTGCATTGGTCTAAATGTATGAAGATGAGTTGCTGCAAACTCTTTCCTACAAACCCTGAACTCGTTAGCTCTGGAGATGGTACCAGTAGTAAACAACCACAAAATCTTCACTGAATGTTAATAATTGTGTTCTTTACAACCACCGTGTTGATTTTTAGTCAGTAACATAGTAATACTGAAGACTTTCCTTGAGGTTCTCATTCTTTGAGCTTTGTTGCTCTTTTTTTTTTTTTTTTTTTTAGCAAGAACACAGCTTTCAGTTGTAACCTCAAGAATGCCTCCCATAATTCAAAACATGATGGCCTCTTAGTTAACTTTTTGTAACTAGTTTTTGTTTTCCCTCTTAAAGTTGTTCTAGGCTTCTGCATGTCATTCAATGTTGATGTGAAAAATTCCATGACTTTCAGTGGCCCAGTGGAAGACATGTTTGGATACACTGTTCAACAATATGAAAATGAAGAAGGAAAATGGTAAGCCAATGGGTTTTTTCATTTAGTTATTTTACAACGCAATGGAAAATATTACTAGCTATAGTTTGTTTTATGAATGAAACTTCAACAGAATGAATCATTTATGCTGAAAAACGCAGTCTAATAATTCAGTCATGGAAACTGACCTAAAGTAAAAAAAGAAAAATTTCTTGGCAACATTAGAGGAAGTGGTTAGTGATGTCTGTTGAAGCCTTGATTGACCTCAAGGAAAGGCCTTAGCCAAAATAGTGATTGTTCAGTAATTATGTTATTTTGGCAAGAGTTTCTTAATTGTTCTCATTTTAGAGTAGCTTACATGCACTTGGTTGAAACTCAGTGGGAAAGAATGGGAGGCAGATGAGCTGGTGCCTTGAAAGAGTTAATATTGTTTTCATACATTGGGGCTTTACTGATCTACTGGGTCTAGTTAATGCATATAATGAACCTTATTGGATTTCTTTATACTTCTTTAAACTTTTGAGATTGCTTGAGTTCATTTAGATATGATTTTTAAATCGCATTTAACTTGTTGAATATTACAAAAATAAACATTAGCGATCCTTTGGTTTATATTTAATTTTTTTAGTAAACTTGACTTTAAAAATATTAGACTGTGGGGAATTGTAAGAATTATACTTTGCTTGAGTTTAACAACTTAACCTGAAAAAGTCCATTTTTCTGGTTACTATAATAAGAAAGAATAAAATTATATCTACTTGGAAAATAATAACCTATTGTTCTACAATAATTACTTCTCAGATAAAAAGATGTGACTTTTCTGTACTTCACTTTGTCTTTTACACTTGGTTAATTTGATAATAACTACCAAAGATTATTGAAAGTCATCATTTGAGTTTCATGTATTCTTGGAAAAAGTATTATATGCTAAGTGTTAATTAGAATTTGTAGGAATGCTTCATTCTTCTCTCCTCGCAAATATCTTAGATGAGAAATCTAATAACAGATTATGAATGTTTAAATCTTCTCTCCTTCTCTCCCACACTCTCCACCTCTCCACACCTTTCAGTTTTTTAGGTTGAATGGGTAAAATCATCTCTCTAAGATAGCAGATTATTCTCTTAGAAATTAGGCCTCTCACTGTTTGGGATATGGGCATCCCATACTGGAGCACCTGGGTTCAAGTCCCAGCTCCACTTCTGATTCCAGCTTCCTGCTAACGTGTATCCTAAGAAGCAAATGAGCAGGTAATGGCTCAAATACCTCAGTCCCTACTACCCATGTGGGAGACCTGAATTAAGTCCTGGCCTTATCCTGGATGTTTTGGGCAGTTAGGAAGTAAACAGACAGATGGAACATTTCTCTGTTTCTGTCTGTCTCTCTGACTCATTGCCTTTCAAATAAATAAATAAGAAATTAGACCTGCAATTCAGGGAGGTCTGTTTCCTAGACAGTGACATTAATCATACTTCTCTTTGTGCATAAATGATAATACACTGAAATGCAGTATGTATTTCTTCAAAAGCTTAACTTTTATATAAATACATATAAAAGTTAATTGTTAATAATTATAGTTACATAAATTTTAAAGAGAAATATAGCAAATAGCAAACTTTAAAGACTTGTAACACCTACTTATATTAAATACCTTTTTAAAAGTAGTCAATATTGTTAAAATATTTTATGAAATTCTGAGTTTCATTTTCTAATTTAAAAAACCTGCAAGTTTTCTCACCCATCTAGTGCTGCCTCTCTGGAAAGCAATCTTGAGGCCATAAGTCATTAATTTATCCGAATGGAACTTACTGAGTACATAGGGATTCATGATATCTTCTTAGTAGTCTTAGTGCGCCCAGTTGACTTCTTTAGTCTCTGTCTCTTATAATAAGAGCCCATCCTCCAACGAGATTTCCACCTTCTAAATCTCCAGTCATTCTCTTTCAAGGTTCCAGTAAGCAAGCAATGGGAAACTGAGAAATCAAGCCTGAATGAGACCTTAATATCAAGGTGAATTATATTCCTGGAGTTATCCTATCTTTATAGAAGATAAAGTATACATGAGGAAAAGACAGACCAACATTAGGAAAGACACAGAAGAGTATATAAGTTGGGCAGGCGCCGCGGCTCACTAGGCTAATCCTCTGCCTGCGGCACTGGCACACCAGGTTCTAGTCGCGGTTGGGGTGCCGGTTCTGTCCCGGTTGCTCCTCTTGCAGTCCAGCTCTCTGCTGTGGCCCGGGAGGACAGTGGAAGATGGCCCAGGTCCTTGGGCCCTGCACCTACATGGGAGACCAGGAGGAAGCACCTGGCTCCTAGCTTCAGATCAGCGCAACGCTCGGCTGTAGCGGCCACTTCGGGGGTGAACCAATGGAAAAAGGAAGACCTTTCTCTTGTCTCTCTCCCTCTCACTGTCTAAATCTGCCTGTCAAAAAAAAAAAAAAAAGCATATAGGTTGGATATAGGTTGGATGGTAAAATACGGTTGTAAAACCATATTCCTGGGACTGGTGCTGTGGCGTAGTGGGTAAAGCTGCTGCCTGCAGTTCCAGCATCCCATGTAGGCGCCAGTTCAAGTCCCGGCTGCTCCACTTCTGATCCAGCTCTCTGCTATGACCTGGAAAAGTAGTAGAAGATGGCCCAAGTCCTTGGGCCCCTGCACCCACATGGGAAGACCCAGAGGAAGCTCCTGGATCCTGGCTTCAGATCGGCACAACTCTGGCCATTGCAGCCAAATGGGGAATAAACCAGTGGATGGAAGACTTCTCTCTCTCTCTCTCTTTCTCTCCTCTCTCTCTCTCTCTGCCTTTCCTTCTCTCTGTGTGTAATTCTGACTTTCAAATAAATAAATAAATCTTTAAAAAAAGCATATTGCTGGCCGGCGCCGCGGCTCACTAGGCTAATCCTCCACCTGCGGTGCCGGCACACCCGGTCGGGGTGCCGGATTCTGTCCCGGTTGCCCCTCTTCCAGGCCAGCTCTCTGCTGTGGCCAGGGAGTGCAGTGGAGGATGGCCCAAGTGCTTGGGCCCTGCACCCCATGGGAGACCAGGATAAGTACAGCCATTGGAGGGTGAACCAACGGCAAAGGAAGACCTTTCTCTCTGTCTCTCTCTCTCACTGTCCACTCTGCCTGTCAAAAAAAAAAATATTGCTAATGGTATATCTGTGTGAAACTACTCAAACTTTAGGCAGACGTTTCTAAATCCAATATACATTTGTGAAATAACAATAATAAGATACTAACCTTTTTGATATAACAGACCATGCCTTATATCTTGTTTCTTTCATGAAATCTTGCTAGTTGTCTCTCTGAGTATTTCTTGCTGGGTTAGAGTATTTTTAATTTATTCATAGCATGAACATGAGTCAATCAAGCAGCAGGTATTTAAGTGCCTGGCAATCATGCTAAAGTCTATTGGAGATGCAAACATAAGATAAATATAAAAGTTTATAACCTAGTATAGGATTTATGAAAAATAACTAGGAATAAAGAATTGTGCAGAGCAGGGTGGAATATAAGATCAATTCAATTGGAGTTCAAAGGAAATGGCAGTGATTTGTGATTCTGGATTCTTGAGCTGAGTCTTCAGAGATGATGTACCTTTTAATAAAAAAAATAGGAGAAATGTCGCCCCAACCTGGGAAGCAACATGAACAAGGACACAGACCTGAGAGGGAGTGAGTGTTGGGAAGTAAACAGGTCTGATACTGGTCTGTAGAAAGAAGTACAATGGCAGATCGTCAAAGCTCAAGCAAGTCAGTTGGACCCAAGAAGAAGGCAAGGATAAGCCATCATAAACTGTTTTTGATGAAACTTAGTTTGGAAAATTACTTATAGATTGGTTTGGACAAAGGAGGGCCTCAAAACTTAAGTACTATAGGCAAGCAAGAACCACAGACTAGTGCTTAAGGGCTGAGGCAGCAGGCTAGATTAGGAGTTGACTGGAATATAAGAAAGGTGTGTCCAAAATAAATTTAGATGAATCATTAAGTGTGGGTGGAAGTTTGGAAACTGCAAATAAGATGTAGGAGAGGTCAGACATAGTCCATAATTGGGAAATGAGTAGTCACTGACAGAGATAACTCTGTACATGGGCAAAGAAAATCAATTTTATTTGGAGGTTAAAAAATCTGCTTTTAAATAGCTTAAAGTCAGAGTGACATCTAGGTTGTCAAAAACCTCAACCTGGAATTTGGTAAGAAGTTAGTATGTCAGGGGAAAAGCCTGGAGATTTTAGTGTTTGTTGGCAACCCTGCACTCTGCCCCTTCTGTAGCAGAGGGCTTTAAAAATATGCGCTCAATGCTATTTGTTGACTGAATGAGTGTTACCATCAATGAGAAATAAAGTTAAAATAAATAGTTTCTTACCATAATAAAAAATGAAAATGATTGTCTTTGGCAAATGTAACTACTTAGGGCTATAGAAGAAGATGGATCTCAAGTCTCTACAGTCCTTGCTTCATGCTTTTTCTCAAGTACATGGAGATGAATATTTCACCTAGCAGTTAAGACAGCAGCTAGGATCCTTAGGATCCTCACTTTCAATATCAGAGTACACAGATTCTGTTCCTGACTTTGGCACCTGATTCCAGCTTCCTGCTAATGTACACTGAGGGAGGCAGTAGTGACGGCTCAATTAGCTGGGGTCCTGCCACCATGTCAGTGACAGGGATTGCATTCCAGCTTCCAGTCTCAGTGCCTGCAGGTCACTTGAGGGTATTTGGGTAGTGAACCAGCAAGAGAGCTCTCTCTCTCAAAATTTTTAAAAAAGTAAATATATTAACATCTTATTGGTAAGTAGCAGGTATTTTACATATTGATATGTATGTGAGGCTGGCACCGCGGCTCACTAGGCTAATCCTCCGCCTTGCGGCGCCAGCACACCGGGTTCTAGTCCTGGTTGCCCCTCTTCCAGGCCAGCTCTCTTCTGTGGCCAGGGAGTGCAGTGGAGGATGGCCCAAGTGCTTGGGCCCTGCACCCCATGGGAGACCAGGAGAAGCACCTGGCTCCTGGCTTCGGATCAGCACGGTGCGCCGGCCGCGGCG